GCTCACTCTCCTCTGACATTTTTTTCACCCCATTAGATGCATGGGTTCAGCTGGAGGGTAAACAGAGAGCACTGGTCCCTTTTTGATGTCCTGGGAGTTTGTGCATATTTGTTGACTGTCACCAGCACAGACGATGACATGGACCAGATGGAAAGGATGACAGTGGCCACAAGATGCCAGGGAGTCTTACTTGGGGTTGGATGACCACACACTTCATTCCAAATCTGAACCCCTCTCACCTGCAACTCAGAGTATTAAGTAGAGAACCCCTCTGAGCCCCCAGAGAGCTGGAGACATTTTCTGGCAGAGAAGCCCAGAGCACCCGCAAGCTGCTTTGAGAAGCTCCTCTGTGTCTTCCCAGTCACCACCCCTGACAAAGTCTGTGGCTGAGAAACTGGCCCACTCCAGCTGCAGGGGATGCAAGTTCTGAATCTCAGGCTGCCCCATCGCCCCTGCCCGGTGATCAAATCAGTCCTCTATGGCTTCTCCCCCAGCTAACTTCTCCCCTGACCATGCAAAGGGCAGTTTTAATCCTGATTTGCTGCATGATCCCGTACAAATGCCTTTGCCGCTCATCTGGGGTGGTTGAGCCTGTAATTCCCAGAGACCTGAAAAGCACATAAAATTATAGAAGTGTCCTGCTTCAATGGTTCTCATTTGCTGAAAAAAGGCAGTCAGTTATTATTTTTCTCAGGGTGAGCTGGGGGTTGGCAGGGACAGTAGTATCCATCTCCTCTGACTCTTTTTTTTTAAATTTTATTTATCTATTTGAGAGAGAGTGAGAGCGAGAGAGATCACAGAAGGAGAGGAAGAGGGAGAAGCAGACTCGCCACTGAGCAGAGAGCCCGATGTGGGGCTCGAGCCCAGGACCCTGAGATCATGACTGAGCAGAAGGCAGACGCTTAACCGACTGAGCCACCCAGGCGCCCCTCCTCTGACTCTTTTAGCGGGAAGAAGAAGTTTACATGTAGCACCTGACCCCTCCTCCTTCCCTGGCTTTGGGCTCTACTCTAGCGGGGGCTAAACAAGGCTGGGGGGGAGGGGGCGGGCAGAAGGATGGTACAGACTCATGTCTGCTTATGTCAATGCACTGGGACCAGCAGGGAGAAGGGAGGGACACGGCCAACTCTCACCCTTTCCCGGGGCCTTGACAAGATGCAGTTTCCAAGGACAGTCCCAGGGTAAGCCTGTTGTAGACCAATTAACAACTTATCTTAAGGGCTCCCTTTCTACTTTCCAAGTGTCCCAGTTGTATATGTGGTTGCCCTATCCATGACCCATGGTGGATTTGCAGAGAACTTGGTGCTAAGTCAAATGCAACCCTATGACAGCTTCCTTTCGGAGAAGTGAGGAAGTATGAGGGAGAAAAGGAAGGCACTGTGCATTACTGCACTGGGTTGACTCTTGTGTGTAACCCACCCCACCCATCCCACGTTTCCGCCTACACAATATGTGGAATGGTGGTTACGTGGGATCAAGGTTATAGGAACATGAAACCAGTTGCCAGAGACAAAATTAAGTCAGTTCATTGGATAACAACCTATAAAACATAAAAAACCCTCTTAGAAATTATAATTTTAATATGTTGCCTATTTTAATTTAATAAAACTCAAAATAGTAGATTCCCTTTATGAATGTACCACACTGTGAATTTTCATTTTCGGATTAACTTAAATAGAAACTCATAGTAAATTCAGTGGGGGAACTAGGGTGGGAACACTTGGGTTAAGGGAGAGGGAGAGAATATATTTTACAATTTTTTTTTTAAGACTGAGCATCGGAATCTCATTTTTGAAATGTCCATCACTGGGCCCAAAGATATTCAATATGCATTTTGCTTTGAAATCTATTTTAATTTAGCAATTACACCTCTAGGAATTTATCTTACAGAAATATTGGAACAAGTGCCAGAGAGTGGCTAAACTCAGGAAAACCCAGGGCTCATAAACAGGTAATGTGTTAAACAAATGAAGGCGATCCACACAGAAGGAACTCTAGGTGGCTGGGGCGGTGGGGGGGGGGGGGGGGCGGGGAAGGATGGGACTATGTATGTCCCCCATGGAATTATTCTCACAAACCACTGTTCAATTGTGACAGCATGCATCCATTTCTGCAAGCAAACATATTACATGCAAAGGGAAGAAAAATCTAGGAGGGCTTGGGATATATACCAAACAGTGATTGCCTCCAAGGAGGGAGATGGTATGGGGTAAACTTTCATTTTTTCGTTTTATTCTTTTTACGTATTGCTTAAATGTTTTCCAACAAGCAGAACTTTCACAGTGTACACAGAAAGATATATGTATATATACAACGATGTATATAAAAGCAATCTTACAATTTTAAAGTACACTTTTTAAGAAAACAAAACCACCAAAGGAAATGCATTTGATACTGTGTTTGAACTGGTCTGACAAGTCCTGCTGATAAGACACTCAGCCCTGGGTACCATGGAAGGATGGTCACGGTCACAATTTCCTGTCCTGACCCCACTCTCCAGCTCGATCCTGCTCTCATTTCCTTCTGAAGGGGAGCATGAAACCTCTTGTTCCCCATTACTAAGGGAAGTTAACCTCTTCCCTGAGCTTGCCATGAAGGTGACTCATCCCTTCCTTCCCTAAGACCAGGGGGAAAAAGATAACAGTTTTTGGCAGTTCAGCCTGTTAGAAGGGGAGTTTGGGGCTCACCTCTCTTCCAGTCGACTGTAGGCCAAGGATGGATGTGTCAAAGGGAAGCCAAAGACAAAGCCCTTCTGGGCTGCAGATGGCAAAGGGCTTAACTTCTAGGCAAGCTGAGAGTCGACAGGATACATTTTTGCTCAGCTCAGACAATGATCTTAACAAGAGCGTAAAAGATGGTCTGACTCTGGCTTCCCAACATATTCGTCTTTGGACATCAATTCTAGAAAACTGAGTAATCGCTTGCCTCAGTTCCAGGCACTGACTTGCCTCCTATAACTAAAGGGGCAGATGTGCTTGTCAGTCCTTCTGTTTGGTAGCCAGTGTGTGTGGGTTAAAGAGAGTATGGGGTGGGACGCCTGGGGGGCTCAGTTGGTTAAGCATCGGCCTTCAGCTCAGGTCACTTTCCCAGGGTCCTGGAATCGAGCCCCGCATCAGGCTCTCTGCTCAGCGGGAAGCCTGTTTCTCCCTCTGACCCTCCCCCTGCTTGTGTTCTCTCTCTCTCTCTGACAAATAAATAAAATCTTAAATAAAAATAAATGAAGAGAGCCTGGGGTACCCATGGAGGCCATCTGGCTCTGTGGAGGAAGAAGGGTCCATGCCTGGACACAGGAGACTGGGCATGACATAACCTTGGTCACTCATGAGTACATGTGACAAATTCCACAGGTCCTCAGGAAGCAAAAAAGAAGGGGCTGGGGTTCCAGAGAGAGTAAAGGAAGCTGAGTCAACTTTGCCCACAGCCAAAGAAATGAATGCCTGCAAGGTGTATTTGAGTGTTGTTGGGAAAGTCACTGAGCCTCAAAATTTTCCCCTATTATCCTGTCAGAGATGCAAAATTCAACCCTTATAGATTCTTCCTTTTGATTGAGACCTTATGGATGTTCAATTGCAAACTAATTCTCCCAGCTTTTTTTTTTTAAAGATTTTATTTATTCACTTGAGACACAGAGATACAGAGAGAGAGAGAGAGCATGAGCAGGGAGAGTGGCAGAGGGAGAGGGAGAAGCACAGTCTCTGCACTGAACAGGGAGCCCAACGTGGGACTCTATCCCAGGACCCTGGAATCATGACCTGAGCCGAAGGCAGACGCTTAACCATCTGAGCCACCCAGTCACCCCCTCCCAGCTTTTTTCCAATCCAGAAGACATGGGTCAGAAAACAAATATACTTGAGTATCAGGAGGCAAGTAGAAAGAACCCAGAACTCAGAGGCTCGGCACTCAAGAAAAGTAGACTTCAGTGGGTTCCAGGCAAAAAGAGAGAGGTGCCAAAGCTTTTCAGTTCAGGCTAAGGTGCAGCACTGCATACAATTGCATCAGACAGCTCTAACTACAGGCGCCTTGTGATTATGCTTTTGAATTCCTTTTTTTTTTTTTTAAAGATTTTTATTTATTTATTCATGAGAGACAAAGAGAGAGAGGCAGAGGGAGAAGCAGGCTCCCAAGGAGCAGAGAGCCCGATGCGGGACTCGATCCCAGGACCCTGGGATCATGACATGAGCCGAAGGCAGACGCTCAACCATCTGAGCCACCCAGGCGCCCTTGAATTCCTATTTTTAAAAAAATACTTCACATACACACGAAGCTTCCCATGAATGTGTCTGCCGCTACCCTTCTTATCTGTATCTGTTCAAGCTGACTTTAAATCCTGACGTTGAAGGCTAATCGGCCATTATTTCATAATGAGTAACAGGCTTCTAATTTTAAATTTTATGGGGTCCTTGCTTTTGGAATCTGAGATTTCTGTCCCCTGCTGGGAGGAACCCTTTATGTGACTGTTAAATCAGCCACTCTCACCTCTGGCTGTACCTTAAAATCACCTGTGACCTTTCAAAAATCCTGATGCCCAGAGCCCATTCTCAGAGATTTTTATTTAATCCATCTAGGATCGGGTGCAGGCATCCATTTTTTAAAAAAATGCTCGCCCAGGACATTTAAGTGTTCTAATGTGCACCCTGAGTTAAAAATGTTAAGAAACGTGGTGGGGCTTGGGGAGTAGAATCTCGTACCTACTCAGTGCTAATTTAAGACATCTAAAATGAGCAAGAAATGGGTTCAACAGAAGCCATGCATTGACGTGGATTCTGCAGGTTCTGTCCCTTCTGCAGAAAGGAAAGGGAAGGGCCCGGCCAGGAGACTGGTGACTGAGTCTGCAGAACATCCCCGCTTGGCTCTCTCGGCTCACTCTCCCTGCTCTTCAGCGACATTCCTTGAGTTGCAGCAAACAAGATTCCCACCCTCCCTGGCTACACTCGCACTCTGGAGTGAATCTCTGGTCTCCTGAGTCCCACCCTTTCCCTACTGCCGAGAAGCAGGCTTACCATCAGGTCTGAGGGTAGAAAGACTTGGACCACGGTGGGGGAAGTGCTCTGCCCATCGGAGCGGAATCCTCAAATGCTGCTCTCACTCCCCATTTTCCTTTGGTCAGGATTTCCGGATGCACGCTGCCCTAGTGGACCCTTCACCAGACCAGAGTCTCAGCCCAGCGGGCTGTGGACCATTCTGTGACTTGCTTCCTTTCTGTCATGGTGGGCACCCGGCGTGCTTTGCTCTCTACATCCATCAGAGCTCTGCTCTCTACATCCATCAGAGCTCGTGTCACTTCTTCCTCCACTTGAGAAAATGGGCTCCTCCACACAGAATTCCCCTGGCTCCAGCTGCCTGCCCCGCCACTGCCCACAAGCCTGAGCGACACTCAGCAGCCCACAGAAATGCAAGCGAGTTCCCAAGTCATAACAGGAAGATGGTATAGGAAGATAGTCACGCGGAATTTTATCTTCCCATCTTTTGTAACACCAACAATGAAGATTTTTTTTCTATGTCACTCTTTAGTCTTTACACAAAGTTCCTCATGACAAATTCCCTGTTGAGTTAATTCCAGGAAAAATTTTGTTCTGAAAATTAATTTGTAAGCTTTCTGTTGTCCAAAATCCCAAACTGTGCAATTCAGTGTATTTTTGTTTGTCTCGAAGCTGCCAGAAAATTTAGAGCCGAATTCACTGTCCAAGTGTTGTAATCTGCTAAACTCAGGCCACTCAAAATATCCATTCCTTTTGCTTTGCTTTGTTTTCTCCTGAGCTTTTGGGCACTTAGTTTTGGTCTAAGTTACCTTACCTGCACCGGAGCCTGTCACCAGGTCCCACCTCTTTATCTCTTGGATCCTTCCATCCTTCTTCAGCATTGCCAATCTTCTCTGTGTCAGTAACTCTGGCCTGGGCACTGCGTGGCCTTGGTCACATCCTTCAGGCCCCCACCCAACCACCAGAGCAGACTTTCTAGGACACCACGCTGAACTCATCACTCCAGCTTCAGTGAGATCCTCCTTCCCTCTGGGGGCACACTGTGAACTCTCCCCACACTTACCATCCCCTCCTTCCCTTTTGGTGACTTTGAGCTTTCTGTTCCCTCAGGCTGGAACAAACTTCCCTGCTTTGTTTTCCCAGTGAAGAGGTTCTCAGCGCTCAGTCCCAGCATTACCTCGTCTGTGGGCCTCCCCTGAGCTGGGTGGCCCTGCTCTGGGCTCCTCTAGCATGCAGCGCTCATAGCCAGGCCACCCTAGGACTGGTTTGAAATTTTTTTTTTAAGATTTTATTTTTAAGTAATCTCTGTACTGAATGTGGGGCTTGAACTCAACAACCCCGAGATCAAGAATCCCATGCTCTACCGACTGAGCCAGCCAGGCGCCCCTAGTTTTAATTTTTTGACTACCCAACTAGGATGGTTGTTTCTGGAAGTAAGAGAGATATCTTATTCCTTTCTGTGTTTGTTCCTAATGGCTAGCACAGAGCTGTTAAGTGAATGATTACACAACCCAGGGAGGCTTACCTAAGGCCATCTTCCTCCGCCAGACATTTTACTACCCTTCCTCAAAAACAGTCACTGTTTGCCTTTGACTTCTCACAGAATTCTGCTCCACCAAAGCAGCCCACCCCGAAGACTTTCTACTCCACTCCTTTGGTGTGTTCAATACTCGATGATGCAAGCAAAAAGGATTTTGTTCTTTTAAGTTGTAACCAAGGGTGCAAGAGTTTAATAACAAAATTACGGTAGAGAGCCCATTAAAAGCCTACTACCCCGGGGCCATTATTACCTGAGTCCTTGGGAACGTTAGAGAAGTCCCATCCCTGAAGCACGTCTCCACACCGGCTAGAATTCCGCTAGCTCCTTCCCCAGCACCAGCTGGTTAAAGCACAGTCGCCGCACTTCCCTTTCCCCAGCCATGCCCCGCTTCCCCACCGGGTCCCCTCCGCCAAAGGACTCCGCCGCTGAGGTCTGGCTCTCCTCAGGGGTTTGAATCCAGCTCTCTGTGATCCCTCCTAAACATTGTTGTATCTCGTGTTGTTAAGAGACTCCCCCTGGGTTCCATCTGCTCCCAACTCCATCCTTAGGGGCAAAGTGGGAGAAATAAGATCATTTGCTCAACTTTACCCTCCTGCTTTCCCAAGACTGCAAATGCTGACCACAGTGTGTGTGTGTGTGTGTGTGTGTGTGTGTGTGTGTGTGTGTGGAGGGGTGTCTGGCTGCTCAGCCCCACTCGATGCCTTCTCTACACACACACACACACACACACACACTCTCTCTCTCTCTCTCTCTCACGCCCCCTGGGACCCAGCCGGGGCTCTGCCCAGTTTCTGCAGGTTTCCGAGGCGCGGGACAACGGCTTCCCCCCTCGGCCCTGAAAGTCTTCCCGAGCCCCCCGAGGCCGTCTGGCCAGTACTTTGCTCAAGTCCCACAGGTCGGCCTGAAGCGCCTCGGTCCCCACGTCCGCACGCGGGAGACCCGGTCTTCGGTCTGCAAGCAGCCACTGGCCCGCTCCGGACCGGGGCAGCTCCCACCGCCTCCTCCCTTCCCCACCGCCGGCGCGTCCCCCCCGCGGCGCCCCCCCCGCCCCCCGGCCCGCGCGCCCCCTCCTCGGTTCCCCCTGCCCCCCCCCGGCCCGGCCCTACCTCCCGGCGGGCCGCGGCTCCGCGGGCTCCGGGGCGCAGCGCGGGGACGCCCGGGCGGGCGGGGGCGGCGGGCGGGGGCGGCGGGGGCCCGGGGCGCCATGGCCCGCGGCCCTCCGCCCTGGTGTCGGCCGGGCCTCTGCCGGCGCCCGGCGAGCCGCGCGCCCTCCGCTCGCGTGCCCGCCGCCCGGCCGCGGCTGTGCGCGAGTGGAGGGCGGGCTCGGCCGGCTGCCGCGTCCTCTCCGCCGGGCCGCGCGCCCCGCCGCCGCCGCCCCCCGCCCGCCGCCGCCGCCGCCGCCGCTCCAGTGAGCTCATCCGCAGCTGGCGGGCGCCCGGCCCGTTGCCACGGCAACGCCTCTCCCAGGGCCGCGCGGACTCGAGCGGCTCCGGTAAACAGGACCTTCTGCCGGACTCTTCCCCTCGCCTTTGGGGGTGGGGGGGGGGGCTGTTTCTGGAGGCTTAACCCTTTCTTTGCTGGAGACCCAGCGCCGGGCGTTCTGCATCTCCGCCGGGCAGCTGTCGGCGCGCCGCGCTCGGCGGCGGCTCGGACCCTCAGACGCGGGCACGGAAGGGGCGGCGACAGTCCCTGCACCCCCACCTCCGTTCGCTCCGGTCGCCTAGCGCGTTCATGGGGCACCTACTAGGGCTCAGGCGCGGCGCCGGGGGCCGCGACACCCCAGACAACGAGGCAGCCGCCACCCCTGCCCCTTGCAGCTTGCGTTCCGGCTGCGGCTCCGACAACCAGGGTCCAGGCAATGAAAGCCCGGGGGCCGCGAGCGCGGGGCGCATGGGTTCCCGAGCCGCGCCGGGAGGGGAGTCAGGAAAAGATTCCCAGAGGGGCAATGGCTTTATAGGGCCCGCTGCCCCCACTCACGTAGGACAAACAGTCAAGGAACACAGATCGCAGGAGTTAGGACTGCCACATAAGAAGCACACGCGCAAGTGTTGTGGGCTTTTTATGCTGAGGACAATGGGGGGCCACGCAATGTGTTTGAGCCGAGGAGTTCCCTGATGAAAGGGAGATGGAGCTGACAGTGGTGATTTATGGGTCTGGGGGGAAGCCTCCAGGCTCATCTCTATACCAGAGGAAAGTCACTCTTGTCTTTAGCGCAGGGGCCCCTAGAAGGAAGGGTCTAAAGCTCAGGCAAGGGGGAGAGGGGAGATAGAGGCTTAGCCTATAAATCCACGAAAGGGGTGTGCAGGAGAGAGAAGGAAAGAAAGGATTGCGGAACAGGGGGAACATCAGATACTGTCTTGGCTGTCCCTGTAAACTGGGGGCCCAAGATTTGAGGGACTGATTTAGATAGCAAAGGCACAGGAAAAAACTGTCTCCTTCTTAGCTGAGGGTTTTGCTCATTCTGTGAGATCTTCGAAGCTTTTCTAGAGCTTGTTATAGCTTCCTAAACTCCATCATGCCATACCCATTTCAACTAAGCTCAGTAAACTTTCAGAATAAAAATTTGCAAGGTACTAGCACTTTTAAAAAAAAGTATAGGCACTTATTTATTAATTTTTAAAGATTTTATTTATGGGGGCACCTGGGTGGCTCAGTCGGTTGAGCATCTGCCTTTTTGGCTTAGGTCATGATCTCATGGTCCTGGGATCAGCGGGGAGTCTGCTTATCCCTCTCCCTCTACTCCTCACCCCCACTCATGCTCTCTCTCTGCTCTCTCTTTGTCAAATAAATAAAGATCTTTAAAGATTTTATTTATTTATTTTAGAGGGAGATAGAGAGTGGGCAAGTGGGGGGAGGGGCAGAGGGAGAGAGAGAGAGAGAGTCTGGAGCAGACTCTGCGCTGAGTTTGGAGCCGGTTGCCGAGCTTGATCCCACGACCCTGAGATCAGTACCTGAACCCAAATCAAGAGACAGACAGACGTTCAACCCACCGAGCCACCCAGGTGCCCCCAAATTATAAGCATTTAAATTATTGTTTTGTTTGTTGAAGCATCATTTAATACATTTTCACTTTCTAAAAAAAAGATCAAAAACTTGGCTTCTTTAGGGTTAATTAGTCCCGGGGTTCTGGGGTGTCATGAGGCAAACTGGCAAAGTAGAGCAAATGGCAAGTGGGGAACAACTGGGAGCCCAGCTGGCTACCTCCCCCGAGCCAGGGCACGCAGCAGGCCGGCCACCTTCGATGTTGTGGCTTCCAGATTGCCAGGCACATGTCAGGTGGACAAACCAGAGAGGAGGCTGGGGAGCTCCTCAGTAGTGGCTGCCACTCCATCTGCGCCGTCATCTTTGAGTTCTAGACACTAACTTGTTTTAGAAAAATTCCCTGCCTCAGCTCATGGGGCCAGACTCTGATGAGTGAGGCTGGGGCCTGTGCTTTGCAAGTTTCCTTCCCTGCCTGCCTGTCACAGCCCCCAACCCCATGGCTGCTCCTGTCCCTGAGCCATTCAATGGCTCTGTTGCCATGGCAGGGTCCCTCCTTTCCTGTATGGCCCTGTCTCTGCTGGCTCCCTGGAGCTCTGGTCTGTCCCAAACCCTGGTTCTCCAGCTCCAGAGGCTGGGGTAGCCGTCCAAGGTGGGGGCGGTACACTGGAGCCTGGAAGACCCTCTCCGTGGTCCCACTCCTCCCAGGTCATGACACTGCTCCAACCGTGCCCCCAGCCCTCCTGGTCGGTCCTCAGCTTCTCTCCATGTGGGAAAATGAGGCCTAGGGTAGGAGATACTGCCTGGCCTCAAGTCAGGAAAGGTGCAGAAGGGAGGAGGGAGGCAGAGTTGATTTTTCTTAGTTTTTTTTTTTAATATATATTTTATCTATCTATCTATCTATCTATCTATCTATCTATCTATCTATTTATCAGCGAGAGCATAAGCAGGGGAAACGGCAGGGAGAGGGAGAAGCAGGCTCCCTGCTAAGCAGGGAGCCTGATGCGGGACTCAATCCCAGGACCCTGGGATCATGACCTGAGCCGAAGGCAGATGTTTAATCGACTGAGCCACCCAGGTGCCCCGACTTGATCTTGAATCTGCTTTTTCCACCTAGAACAACCATGGAGAACTGCGGAACCTCTCCTACCCCTCCCTCCCCTTCCTTCAGCATCCTGTTGAGGAGTGCGGGCTCTGGGGCAGGTGGCTTTGCCTCTAAGTCTCAGGGTCTCCAACTGTAAGGTGGAATTAGGAACAGTTATAACCGACTTTATCCCGTTGTGGTGATTAAAGCAGGTCAGCAAGCAAAGGGGGTAGTCCTGGGCCTGGGAGATTGGGGGCACTCTCAGTTACCTCCTGTTTGTTATGTTCCTAATCTCTCTCTCTCGTTGCAAGAGAACAGAGGTGTTCAGAATTCAGCAGATGGGAGCAGGCCGTTTTCCTCCTCTCGTATCAGGCACAGAGCCTGCTTCATCTCACCTATAAACCAGGTGAAGGAGAACCGAGGGCCGATGAAGGAGGCTAGCCTGATTAAGATGGGGAGAGAGCCTGAAAAGGAGCCTTTGACCAACTCCTCTCCCCCAAATTGTTTCATTTCCATTCAAATTCCCTTTGGATGCTAAACATTTACCGAGAGTCTTTCATTCCAGCAACTTCACATATGTCATGTCGCATAATCCTCCCCACACTTGTGAGCAATTAACTATCAGCCCTAATATTTTATGGGTGGGAAAACGAAGTTCCAAGAGGTTATGTGCTTTAATTGAGGTCGCACTAGCCTAGGCCCATCTGGCTCAAGCCATGTTCTTTTTTACACCAGCTTTGCCTGAGAGCCGGGGTTCTGCCCAGTGCCAGCCACTCTGGACGGGGGTTTCTGGATCAGCGTTCAACCCACGTTGTGGTTATGCTTTCCCCTCTGGAAGGCAGAGGTGGTGCAGTTCCTCCAGGAATTTCTGACACCCCTCCTTAGAGACTGGGTGACCCCTGCTTGGGTCACTGGGACCCTTTCCTTCTCAGCCCTCACGTCACAGCAAGCCCTCTTCTGGGTCACGGCCACCTGCCTGCCAGCTCATAGTGGAAAGGTATACACTCAGCAGAGAACAGACAAGAGGTTTGGGTGTTGTTCCTATTCTTTTATGCAGAGAGCTGGTGTGGGGAGAGCAGTCATTCACTTATGCGCAGGCCTGTGACAACTGGATGCGGCCGAGCAAGGAAGGAACTTATTTTAGGGGCAGGGAAAAATCCACAGCCTCACCTTGAAATGCTCTTGGGAAAGCTCTTCCACGTCACTCCAGTGGCTGATGTGAGCTCACCAGCAGCAGGGCTCCCCTGCTCTTGTCCTCCTTAGGCAGCCCTTTCCCTCCTTCCCTTTTCATTCCATTGCAATCCCATCTTTGGCCCAT